ATTGATATGCAGAATAAACAGGGTCGGGGATAGGACACAGCCTTGTGGGACACCAGCATTCACAGGTTTCAGGTCGGAGCATGCTCCGTCGATGACGACTTTGATGCTCCGATCAGCGAGAAAGCTGGAAATCCAGTTGCATAATTTCTCAGGGAGCCCATAGGCTGGAAGCTTCGAGAGCAGTGCTCTGTGCCACACCCGATCGAAGGCTTTCGCTATGTCCAAACTTACCGCCAGCGCCTCCCCCTTGGACTCAATTGCCTCTGCCCACCTATGTGTAAGGTATACAAGGAGGTCACCAGCTGAGCGACCACGACGAAAGCCGTACTGAGAATCGCTAATCAGCTGGTGGCCCTCTAGATACCTCAGGAGCTGGCTGTTAATAATGGTTTCCATTATTTTGGAGAACAAGGAGGTTATAGCTATTGGGCGATAGTTGGACGGATCAGAGCGATCGCCTTTTTTAGGGATCGGATGTATCGAAGCGATCTTCCAGCACTTCGGAACAGTGCCGAGCGTGTAAAGGTACCGGAAAAGGCGCGTTAGAACAGGAGCCAACTCAGGAGCACAAGTACGCAGCACAATTGGAGGGATGCCATCGGGCCCGCTCGACTTATGGATGTCCAAGGAAGACAAAGCTTTACGGATAGCACGTTGCCGGAATATAACTTCGGGCATCGTAGTATCACACCGCAATAATGTCGGTGGTTCATTCCCTTGATCATCCAAAGTGGAGTTCGACGCAAAGAGACAGCCTAGAAGATCGGCCTTCTCTTTCGCGGTATGGGCCAGTGAGTCATCCTCCCTATGCAGTGGTGGAATTGAGGGCTGACAGAAATTCCCTTGGACAGCTTTGGCAAGAGACCAGAAGGCTCGAGTTCCCGAAGGGAGGTGGGCCAATTTTTCACCAAATCTGGCAATGTGCTTTGACTTTGCTTTAGTGATTTCTCGCTTGAAGGACCTGGAGGCTGAATTGTATGCTTTTTTACGTTCGCCGATAGTCACATCACAGGATGTCACCGCTTCTGCCCAGGCTTTAAAGCATTCACGCTTACGGCGCAAAGCCGCTTTGCAAGAACGCCTAAACCAAGGCTGGGACTTGCCACCGACCGGCACCGCAGAGAATGGAATAAAAAGTTCCATACCCTGCAGGACCACCTCGGCGACAGAGTCAGCGACGGCATCTGGAGTACTCGACGAAAAGCAAATGGGCCCCCAAGGGTAGGACGCAAAAAGACCGCATCCCATCCCAATCTGCTGACTTATAGTGCCACACGCGGCGACAGCCCGTGAACCTAGGCCGAAGAGGGCGCGTGAACGGCACAATGCTCCGGACCACACAATGATCTGATGATCCCAATGGCGGTTCAACAGAGACTTGGTAGTTCTCCGGATGTGAAGTCAGCAGAAGGTCCAACAAAGAGGGTTTATGACCATCCACATCTGGTATTCGCGTAATCGCAGGGACCATTTGCGTCAAGTCGTAAGCCAAAGCAAAGTCGTGAAAGGATCTTCCCGCATGATCGGTGGTTTCTGAGCCGAGCCAATCGGCATGGTGGGCGTTAAAATCGCCAAGTATCACGATTTCAGCGGTAGGAACCCTTTCGAGCAGGGAATCTGTAGCCATTTGGATGTGCTCAATGAGTCGGTCAGTTTCGGTATTTCCGCTATGGGACCTATACAGGCATGCGTAGAATCGCGGATGGTCATCGCAGTCTACGCGCAGCCAGAGGTTAGATAGGTCCCTTCCTTCAAGCGTCCCGAGGCGACGAGAACAGATATCCTCTCTGACGTACACGCAAACTCCCGCCCGCGGCACAAATGAATGTTCCAATTTGTACCCCGGGTAGGAGAGGTAGGAAGTATCAGCCGGGGGGGATATCTGAGTCTCGGTAAGAAAGAGCAAGGCCGGCTTCGCAGTCTCTAAGTGGTAGTGGACAGCGTTGATGTTGGAGTGGAGCCCCCTAACATTTGTGAAGTCCACGGCGAGTGTGGACGGGGGTGCCTTAGTTGAATTGCTCCGTTTGCCCCGAGAACGATTAATGTTTTTTTTACCGAGCGCAGAATTGCCCCCCAGAATACGAAGGGCAGCCTGTGCGTCCGCCACCGGGTGCTGAGTGTCCCGGTGTTGGACGCTCAGAGGGGGATTCTCCACCGCGTTCGCGTGTGGTACCCCCTGGGGTAGATTCTGTTTGTTCTGCACCTTCATATTTCATATGGGGGGATGGGCTCCGGGAGTCTCCCTCACCGTACGAAACGCGAGTACAATAAGGCGAACCTATTGCCTCACTTCACGCCGGTTTTCTGAGAGACAGTGGTACTGCCCCGGTCGTGCCTGCCCATTTGGCTGAAGCCCGAAGGCAACAGCATGGCACTCCCACTAGGAAGGGGTTGACTGATTGCGCTGATGAAATAACCTCTGTCACAGGTTATTTCACCAGTGGGCGATAGGGTCGTCACGTCCCGACGCCAACAAAATTCATTTCATTAAATGAATTCTAAATGTAATGTTGTAAAAATTATTATTATTCTGCATAAAGACGATCAGATCTTTCGATCATGCACGACATGGCTTTGCGTTTAAACGAAAAAGGCATTTCTATGCATAATAATCATAATTACATATATAATTTATAACCACGTGTTTTCTACATCCGATTATTTCAAGGAAATATGAATGGATATTATATCTTTTAATTACGCGTAAGCATACCGGCTGGAAATGTTTTATCATCAGAAGAATGAAAATCAATAAAAATATCAATTGTACTTTAAAAGCAGCAATCGATAAAGTACCAGTGATACAATTTGTTTAATAAGAATGGTGTATTATAGCCTGGCAAGTTTCGAAATATACATGATTAACGAAAAATTCAACAACAAATTTATATCTGCCTTGAAGTAAATTTTTAAAGGCTTTTAGTAAATATTATATGTGTGAAATATATATACGCAACAAAGTGTATTAGTTTTTTATCATATTTTCTGTTTTATTTGTGATGTTGTTTTTTTTTTTTTTTTTTTCCTCCATTCTTTTTTCCTCCTAAGCCGCAGTTCTTTTTTCAAACTGTAAATCTCTCCTTTCAAATGAACCCAGTATTTCTAGATAAATAAACCTTATACAACTCAGTCTATAGACAACTTACAAACATGGTTTACAAGTTGTGCTAAAGTGTTTCTTGAATAATTATTTCTCATGAAAAAATAGTTATATTTTACTTGTTATTGCCATTAACGCTTAACTAAACGTAAAATACGCAATATTTAATTATTATCACTATATCAAATTAGAGGTTTTTTACTAACTGAATTTAACAGGAAAACTCTTTTAAAATACTATATACATAATTGATAAGGCCAAAAAACAATTAATTCATTCATATCAATTGAACTAAAACTGAATGGATAGGGATTGAGTATAGAAAGCGGCTGGGAAACATTTGATGTCTAGAGGATGAAATTGTATCATCTAATGATGCAATTTCATCATCTACGAATTTTAATAAAGTATTTATTTTTTATATAATTACTAATAAGTCGTATTCAAACGACTTATGGCTGTTAAATCGTTACTTCGTTCTGTTGATATGACCGAAACATATACGAGTAGTTAGTTATATAGGTTTATATTTGCTTTAATTTTTCTTTTTTTTTGAAAGAAATCAACTTAACCGTAGCTCACACACTGTTTGACTGTATGTTCATGATTTTTTTTTTATAGAGAATAATGTAATGTACATAGTATTGTCTTTTATTGACATAACCTTTACACATTTAAAGAAAAATTTTAACCGGATTAAAGTTATGTATTATTATAAATTTACAATTATTTAACATAATTTTAAATTTATCCGACGTTTCGCGTGCTTTACAGCGTGCGTGGTCACGGTGACCGACGGTGTTAAATAATACATAACTTTAATCCGGTTAAAAAGTTTTTCTTTAAAAGAGAATATTGTAATTAATCTTTAGTTGTAATATTTGTAAATATGTGAGCAACATGTATCTACATAAAAATTTAGTTATCTGCTGCATTGATTTTTATAACACCATGCGCCTATTTTATTTTAGTACAGTAGTTTTTTCTGGGTCTTCAGATATAATAATCAAATAAATGTATTGTAAAAACTATTTAAAAGCGTAAGTATGGAGTTATTTGCCCATTCATATGAAACTACCTTTTGGAAGGGGCATCTAGTCTGTTATTTTTATTTTTAACTTGTATTTTTTTTTTCCAAAAAATCCCTTTTTTAAGGTTTTTTAAAAAAAAAAAATTTTTTTTTTTATTTCCTGAAAATCGAATCTCAGTAACTACTGTGCGCTACTGAGGCACTTTTGAACATTGTTTTATTAGTTAATTATGAAGGTGGAATCTAATCTATCAAACAGTGCCACTTACAGTACATAAAACAAGTTATTTCGCTCCATTAGCAATGCTTACTAGAGCATTCGACACTGCAATGTTATTCCTAATAATACATAATATTTTCCAATTTGACATATAGGGACTTCTCCGTATGGCTAACAGTGTCAATGTAATTGTACAATTAAGTAATATTGACAAATTACTAGAGTCTGTTCTCTATTGACGCCACAGCAAGGTAACAGAATAGTACCTACCCAAGGCAGGGAAAGAGAAAACAGCGCCGCACTGGTATACTGAAACTTCTGGTCTTCTGGCCAGATTTCTGTATGTGTTTCTTGATAATTAATCTTCTTCTTAATTAGTAAGAAGGTGGTCAACCTTCTGTCAGGCATAGACCGATCGCTTTTGTAGGTCTAAAGCATTTTGTCACCGTATGAGCACAAATGTACAGAGGAAATAACTTTCAATGCACAAACATGAACTTATTACGAAACTCACAAAACACGACGTTTCATGCGATAATTAATAGTAACATTACCTAACTGTAATACCATAATGTCGAGTTATAAGTAGCTGAATTCGCCTGTATAATCTTGAAATATTAATGACTTTAAAAACCTAAAGCATTAAATACCTTGATTTCTTCCCGATGGCCTAGGCCGTGTAGTTTCTCTATTCTCGTCCTCCATATGCCAAGAATATTCCATTTTAAACTCACATTAAAACATATTTTATGTCACATCTAAGACGCAGACACAAACACACATTGCAAATTCAAGTTTTCAATTAATCAATTAAATTATTGTTGATAATTAAATTACTCTAATCTTAATGTTAACCGTAACTAACAATTATTAAAATGCTAAATTAACAATTAATAAATTGATAGTGAAAAAATTAATGACACAAAAAATGCCAATGCAGACAAAAAACAACTTCAATTTTCGAATCTGTTTGCTCAATACGTCCAAAGACAAGATAAACTTGAAACGCACTGATCAAACAACCCCTGCGCGAAAGAGATATCATGTGTATTAGGGTGTAGGAGGGAAAAAGACATCCATATTTACTATCATTCGGTTTCAGCGGCGAATGCGGTTTTGAGGGAAATATTGACCAATAGGGGTTGGATTTATATGTAGATGCTCTTTATACAAAAACCAGATGTATTTTAAAGCAATAGAGTCGATATTAGTCTGAGGATTTATTTTAGGGTGTTTTGTATGGGGTAAATGAAATCAGTGATTAGCCGTTTAGCGTTTAGTAATCTATTTACTTTATTAAATATAGGGTCAGATTCTATGTTTATCTATCCATCTATTGAACATCGTAAGGCCAAAATGTACATTTACATGAAACTAAATTGCACGAGTTTTCAAAATTTCTTGCCGAACTAAGCGATGTTTCAATATATATACTTTGTATTTGACTTATACCTGGAGAAACACGAGATGCCAATGGGCAGGAGACTCATCTGATGTTAAGTTATACCGCCGTTCATAGACACTCAATTCCGGAGAGCTCGCGTTGCCGGCCTTTTAGGAATTGGTACGCGCTATTCTTGAAGGACCCTATAGGTGTCATGTTAGGTGAACGTATTTCACGCTTCAACGTAGCCAAAACTGCTGCACCATTCTCGATGCGATCGTGCGTGAAATGTGATATTGTCAGGTGTGCTGTGAGCTGTGACATACAGCTGGCGATTGATTTTAATAAAAACGGTTAAACAACGTATTTGAAGGATTAGACATATAGAAATAATAATACAGTAGAGCTGCAAGTTTATATGGGTCTGGGCTTGATATTACATCTGTTTCTGATAGAAGTAGGTCTAAGACAGATGTATTTTTTTTGGGTCTAAGGCATGTCGACACAGCCGTGATCAGAACATATGATCCTAGAGTTGAGAGACACTGCTCTTATTACGAACGATAGAGTGATTTTTAAATGTCTTTCAAGTTCCGAATCGATGTCTTTTCTGCTCTTTTAATTATGGGCTGGCCAAATAATTGACGATCCAAATATATAGGTGTATCCGTGTATCGTACTCATGCCTACCACAATAAATCCGCGAGGTCAGGGAAGAAATTGTGATCTTTCAACTGGCTTATACTCGAAGGGTCGGGTGTGATAAAAATAGAAAAAGAAGATAGTATTTTTTTATTTAATATTTGCGAATAAAAATTAAACGATTAACATGCCTATATTTATTATGTCAAATTAATTATATTGACAGGATTTTTTTGTAACAAAGAATAATTACAACATACATTACAAAAATGTGGTGGCACTCCTTCACTCACTCCAGGCACTCTGATCTGACAACTGGTGAGCTATGCCCATTAAAACCTCGGGTAGTTCCAAGCTCATTAAAGAAGACCTATTTGGGTAGCTTTTGCAATCCCGCAGAACCAATCCTATTCACAGATACAGTTTTAATACGTTTTGTTTTCAAATCACTTACGCCCCTACCATTCAGCCATGTCAAATAAGTAATTTGAATAATTGCTATTTACGACAAGTAACTCCCCCATAATAATAGTAATTACACCGTGGGAAGTATGGGCTTCGACAGGTGCGTTCAGGCGGTGGCGTCCTTTTGACCGCCGGTTTTCATACTAAACTTTTACCTTCAATTTTCTTCTCTTACTTCTACTTCTTTCTTCATTAGTAAAGCTCGTGTTGGTGTTCCCTCCTGTCTTCGGCACGCCTTAGCGCCTGCGTTATACTAAGGCCTGTAAGGAACTTAACTTGGTCAGTTCAGCTATTAGGGGATCAGTCTCGGTGTCTCATGCCTTCCAATCTACCGGTCACCACAAGCTTCCCCACGTTATCGGAACCTCTGCGCGCTATATATCGAAGTGCCGTGAAAGAAGCTTAGGATCCTTTAGTAACACATTGAAGAAAGATCGGTCATCACTTGTAATTGTTTGAGGAATTACGTCCCTTTCGGTGTCCAGGGAGTCCTGAGTCTAATCCTGGATATAGGTTTAGTTAAAGTGAGGAGTTAGGTTTAAGAAGATCTGTGATGAGTATAGAAAAACTATAATACTGCTTACTTCTGCATAAAATATTCAAATGAACACCTGTGGAAGGGGAAACACATACATACTGTCAAAATCATGATATTCACTGATAGACCGTACAAAAAGAACTTCAAATATACAATTTTAATTTCAGCGCTTTTTTCCGGGAGACTTGTTCCCAAATTTCATATTTAACATATATCTGTTAACATAACCGCAAATTTATAAAATCAATTATATTTATAAGCTATGACGCGTAATAGTTCTATTTTAATTGTAACATTACACCATTGATAGCACGGCGCCACACGACAGGATTTACGCGTTAGATAGACACGTGCATCATATTGTGACATTCAAAAATCCTCTTTAAAACTTTTTTCACTGGATTCGTCAATATTCTTCGCCCATGGTATACATGGAGCGAAATAGTTTAACTTGTAATTTATACTTTTTATAGTAAGTAAGTAATTATGACAAATTTAATCAGTTTTTATGTGTGGGAGTGAGAAATATATATTTAAAAACGTAAGATATGTAATATAATGTATAAACATGTATTTTTTGCTCTCTGGGAGTAATGATGTCGTTTCGTTTTTTTTGTATTAAATGTATTTCTTTTTAACTTTGGGTTGCGCTGTATCCCTTTAGGCACCAACGTTAACGCCCTCAGTGGTTTATCGGTGTTTCCTGTACTTTTAGTTTATATTTATTAAGCAATAATAAATTTAAAAAAAATGCTATTATTAACCGAACTGTGGATCATCGTATCATAAATACAAAATTATACTACAATCTGATATTAACTATGTATGTGACAACAATTCTTTGAAAACACAAAATAGTGTATCACGAAACATCTGGATAATTATCCAACTATAAACGTAAAGTTGGAAATAAGATAAGAACTATCATAAACATTAATTATTGGAAAGCTCAAACTATAGGTACTCCTATTTCACCATTATACCCAAAACATTGATCGAGAATTTTCTTATTGAGCAAACTTTCCATGGTTACTCCAGGGTGAAATGTGAAAACATTAAATTGTATCACTTGATGCCTGCGATATCGACTCCTTACGTAATAATAATCCCGCATAAGTTTTTCATATTACCTTTCTTTATAGACAATTGGTAAGCCAGAAGAGAAGTTTTAAAAGGAAACTACAGGCTAGATTTAAAAAGGACTTTTATGGACACTAGCATTCTCCCAGGCCTGGTCTACGGAGCCAAACTTGGACGTCTACCAAAAGAGAGAAGTCGAAGTTGACTAGAGCCCAGAGAACAATGGACCGAAGCATTCTAAGAATCAAAAAGATTCACAAAATACAAAGTGACCACTTTAGGGCGAAAACTAAGATCACCGACGCCCTATCCCACGCCTTACAGCTAAAATGGAAATGGGCTGGATAGGACCAGGAGAAATGGATGTAGTAATGAGGCCTTTACCCAAAAGCGGTCCATACTGCAGAACACGAAGTAAAAGAAATCATTTCAATTAGGAACACCACCTTTTGTATGGCAATTAAGGTTTACAATAAATTACCAAAAGAATTAAAAAATCTTCTGACTAGTCTTTAAAAATCGACTCGGTGTATTACTTTTGGAAAAAATGTACTATTCAATAAATGATTATTTGCGTGAGACAGTGTAGTTGATATTAATTTAATAGATTGTGATATGATATGTTCTTACATACCTACAAATAATATAAGAATTGACTTTGACTAATAATGTAAAATGTAAAATTCCTTTAAAGAAAAATTTGCGCGCCATTGTGTGTGGCAGAATATGCGAACTTAAGATTGTACCACCTTACACATTTTTGTACCATAATCTTGCAATAAATAAATTATTATTATTATCAGCCATCCTTGCCTCAAGACCAAGTTTTGGGTCTAACCCTAAGATGGAGTCAAGCGGAGTCGAGACTTAGTGTTGTCTCTCGTATGTCAATTCCATTAGTATTTGATATGTACGTTAAGTCTCTAAGGGTCAGATTCAGAAACGAGACTTAGCTAAGTATGACTTCCATATGTCAAAAACGTTTGAAGTTTCGTTTCTACCCTAACATATCGTTTTCCTAACGAATTTTCGAAAACGTTTTTTAGAAAGAGCAAGTGCGGACATAGAAATCTATTTCTGCACTATATATATGAACACACAACGTCATGATTGATTCATACATTTAACGTACTTGTGTGCCTAAAAGTAGGTCATACAACAAATTAGTCCCTTGCTAATTAAAACTATGTACCAGCCGTAGTCCTAGGTTTTTCTAGGGAAAGCGCATTTGACTCACGTATTATTGAATTATGCCACGAGTCATAGTTCGTTGAAACTTCACCTGCAATACGGCACGTCTTTAGTGAACGTGAGTAAGTAAAAATAAAATTAAATAAATCAGTGGCGCTACAACCTTTTTAGGTCTGAGCCTCAGATTTTTTTCGTATCCGTTTCATGATCATTTGTCAATCTAATAGGCAAGTAGGTGATCAGCCTGTGACTTTTTGGGTGTAAGACTTTGGTTTCCTCACGATGTTTTCCTTCACCGTTTGAGCGAATGTTAAATGCGCACATAGAAAGAAAGTCCATTGGTGCACAGCCGGGGATCGAACCTACTACCTCAGGGATGAGAGTCTTACGCTGAAGCCACTAGGGCAACATTGCTGCTGAGTA